AAGCTCTTTAATTAATTCAGGTACTTTTTATTATATTTATTCGCGAAATCATTTTGAAATTTTTTCCCACAGCTTAAACACAGAAAGTCGCATCCTCATTGCAATGATATGCATCTTCATTATTTATTCAAGTTAAATGTTACTGTCAGTGTGATACTAAATGTGTGTATACATTGTACATTAAAATTAAAAGTTGTTTGAAGAAACTATTTAATATATGTTGCTATTTGATTTTATAACACCAAAGTTGAACAGTTTTTACAACAGCAAACATTGGGTATTTATCCTAATTATAAGCATTCCCTTACAGATTGGTTCCCTTACATGAGCCATGGGTCATGTTTGTCACTCTGGCTTATTAAATATCATTTTGTGGCTTAATCACCTCTGCTAATTTACATGGCAAATTCTATTGTCCTTGTGCGATGGAGGTTGTCGGAAACCTAGTGGTCACAACATTGAGCTAGAAGGCATAACATTTTGTAAGAGTGGTCTTGTTGCAGGAAACTTTGAAGGTGGACTAATCTATATCTTAATTCACACTGACAATTCCCAAGCTCTTTAATTAATTCAGGTACTTTTTATTATATTTATTCGCGAAATCATTTTGAAATTTTTTCCCACAGCTTAAACACGGAAAGTCGCATCCTCATAGTCCTGCACTACAGTGCTTGTACTGTTTTTAGCTCCGCTGTCGACTTTGTCGAGCGGAGCTTATCATATGAGTGATTGTCCGTCGTCGTCCGTGTCAATGTTTTACTTTTTCGACTTCTTCTTGAAAACTACAAGCCTGAATGCTTTGATACTTGGTGTATATGTACCTTGGGTAGACCTCTCTTAGGTTTGTTCATTTCATGTTGATATCTTCAATTCTCTAATTTTGGTGAATGTTTTTGTCATTTTTGGTAAAAAGTGATATTTTCGACTTCTTGTTAAAAAACGCAAGTGCAATTGCTAATATATTACATATATAGGTACTACATTTGAACCTCTCTCAGATTTGTTCATTTTGTAATGATATCTTTAATTCTCTAATTTTGGTGAATATTTTTATCATTTTTGGTAAAAAGTGATATTTTCGACTTCTTGTTAAAAACCACAAGTGCGATTGCTTTGATATTACATATATAGGTACTACATGTATACCTCTCTCAGATTTGTTCATTTTGTGATGATGTCTTCAATTCTCTAATTTTGGTGAATGTTTTTGTCATTTTTGGTAAAAAGTAATATTTTCGACTTCTTGTTAAAAAACGCAAGTGCAATTGCTTTGATATTACATATATAGGTACTAC